CAGACATTCTTGTCACCGACCAGCCCACCTTCCCAAGTACGCCTCTTACTCAGCCCATGTAGGACACCTCTGTTCCCTCTTCTGTACCCCAAGCATCTCACGACACAAACTCGAAATCGCATCACCGAACACGCTTCGGACTACGGTACATGACCCACAAGTATCGAGCTTTCGTCTCAGTGACTCACGCTCTAGGGGGTTCTGTAGCGCTTGTACATATCGCTCTTCCCAATTGTACTTTCCTATTCTCATTCTCACTATTATTGCACAGTTTTGTTTTAACTGACCAACAACCGAAAAAAGACTTTTCGGGTTTTGATTTGCCTTCTGGTTTTGGCTACGCGTGTTGTGCTGTTGATCGTCGTCGATCTGCTAGCCTCGTATATCGATCATCGGATCTAAAGCGACGATTTATTGTGCCGATTAAGTTTCGTCTTCTGACCAGATTGTGCGACTAACTGACGGCCTACCGTGGATCGTGCTTTACCTAAGGTCAGCTCCAGCATTCTTATTTATAGACTGAGAGTTCTTTTATGTAGTTAAGCCCTTTCCGTTTGGCTTTTCCACTACAATCTGTCTCCTATTTTGGAATGACGTCCGCACCATCGAAGTGCAAGGTCTTCTTGCAGGACTGGCTAGGCACTGCTCCTATCCTTACCCTTTAAGATCATTCGTTCGAAGTGGTAGATAAGTTCGTTTGCCTCGGAAGCTGCCTCTGCACTAATGGTTTAAGAGATGAGATCTCTTAGCACGTCTCCAAGGCTCGGGTTGCTTCTGCTGATCTCCGCCATATATGGGGTCGAGACGATCTGTGTCTATCTTTAAGACCGAGTCTACAATCCGACGTCGAGAGTGCTCCTGCTCTATAGCTGCGAAACTGCCTGTTTGCGTAAAAGATGTTGAAAGGCTGTCTGTATTTGATCACCGCTGCCTTCGGAGCATTTCTGGTGTACGGCGGCTACATCACAATAGTAATGAGAATGTTCCACGTAGGATTTTCAGATCAGACAGACTTTACCGACCACTGGATAACATAATTTCTGTTGTAACGCTGCTTCTTTCCTTCTGCTCTCTGCCATTGACAAATGTTGTATTGCCGTTTCTCCTCTGCTTTCTGCCACTGACAACTGTACTACTGCTGCTTTGCTGCCTTGTGAGACTGCGACTGTCTGACTGCTCAGTCACGTCCCAGCCAGCCGAAGAAATGAAAAGGCCAGAACTCGGTAGACAGATAGTATGTATCTACAGGATGGGTTACATCTATTTGTTTGTAAGGAAACATGCTAATTTAGGAGGTCAAGGTCACTCTTCTGCGTCTGGTTTTCAACCAGTGTGAGTGAATTCCGCTCCACGGGTTTATCATAATGACGGAATAATTCGATTCCTTTGACGCGGCCCGTCATTTCCACTCGATTCCCATATTCAGGCGAAAGGTCAAAGCTCGTAGCACGCTCGTGCTGATGACATTTGCATGTAGCGGACAGCCTGCGTGCTCCGCTTATGCCTGTATTACTTTCAGTACGCAAACTTCACTGGCTTGGGCATGTGCTTCGCATGCTTCCTCATGGTTTACGTCCTCGTGTCCACTTTGCGGTCACAGAAGTCGGCTGGAAGCGAAATCAAGGTGGCTAACGTATGACTTGGACCAGAAGCATGAAGGAGCTACCGTCAAACTCACTATGTTTTTTGAGATCTGGACTCCCTTGCTGGGGACGCAAGGATCACGAACACACACGGCTGGAAACCGTATCGGATATGGCAAGAAACCGTGCGCAATGACGGACTTGTGACACTCTATTCCCATTAACGCTGTTTAATCTTCTTTCTTCTGTTTATTGTGTTCCCCATACGTTGTGGCATCCTGCCAATTGTATTACTAGCCGTTATATATATATATATATATATATATATATATATATATATATATAAACATTTCGTGTTATGGCTGGTTATGGTACTTCAAGCACAACTACTGCTGGTAGTAAAGTTCCCCAGGGATCAGTACTCAGCCAGCGACTATTTCTTACGTTGAGACCTGTAATTGTATATGTTGGCAGCGGCGGTAAGGCCATACTTTCTGAAGATCTTGCTACATTTTTCAGTTTTCACGCCTATAGGATTTGCTCTTGAAAGTCAGTGGATGCCAAATCCGAACTTCGCAAGTTGAACAGATTGTGATACATGCATCTGTTAGGCTCCTGACACTGCAAGGTGTCACAGGGGCACGCGATCTAGGTACCATCGCGCTGAGTAACTTTAAGCCTTCGGCGCAGTGCAGGCATGCTGCCAATCGTGCACATTGCGTTGAAACACACCTGTCCGTAAATACATACCCTTGCAACAGCAGTGATGAAACTCACATAGCTATTTGTCACTCATACATAAGCATACCATTTTCTGTAAAATGTGATTTGTGCCAAATATGGACGATGATAAATATACCTATTATTATTGTTATTATTATTATTATAAAGCATGACAGGAATTATTTCGACTTAGGGGGGCTTTAAGTTCCAACATATCATTGGTCTTTATTCCTTTGTGCAAAGCGGGCTTCAGACCAAATCTTGAGCTCTGTTCAAGCCTGCGCGTCCTACCTACAGTAGGATATCATTTGTGTTGAGAATTTGCAGACTGGTCACTCGGATGTTAGGTCAGCGGGGATTACTGTATCAGGAACGGTTAGTTACCTTAGAGTTTTTTACGATGAGACGCAAATTGAGAAGGCATTGGAGATTTTCGAGATCATGAAAAGTCTCAATTGTCCTAAGCCCACGATCTCTGAAAAATTTGCATCCGACCGCTGCGAGGCCACTACCTAAACTTGATACAGCTGGGCTAGATATAAAAGCTGAGTTATTCACCTGTCTCCATGTACTTAGGTGGAATATACTTTCCTCTATCACATTGAAATGTGAAACGGTAGAAATCTTTAAGCGATATCTAGACAAAGATTAGTTGGCATTTCCCCCCTAATTTCCGTGAGAGCTCACGACACCATCTGAGCGCGTCCTAGCATCTTTCACAGCTTCATACATGTGTCATGATTGCTTTGATCTTGCTACTATTTTCATTCTAGACGCAGGAACGTTCTGTCAGCTCGTGGTGTTGTGCGTACTGTTTCGCTTACTGGTATATGAAACGGGACGTTTGTTAAGCGAGAGCTTGTTTCGTCCCTTGATCCTGTCCTGCCCTACGTCTGTGTTAGCCTACAGCCGGTGGACATTGAACTCTTCGGACCTGTCAAGTTGCCACATCGTTTTCACACTAAATGGACTGGAGTATATTCAGCGACGTACGATTCTTCGTTATACAATGCGATGAAAAGCATGTAAGTGATTCGATTATTCCATCCAATTTTTCTTTTCTTTTTTACCTCCTGGATGTTTCATCAGTTTTACTTCTACATATTTTACATGCTCGCACTTCTAAACTTTAGTTGTTTGATAATCCATAGACTTTTTGCACCCTCTTGCTTCATACCGCACTTGATGTACATTATATGCAGTCACACTGTATATGCACTTTACAACGGGCATTTATCCATCCGTGGTCCATCGTGATTCACTGAGCAGCACTTTGCATGTGCTTTCAGAACCGCTCATGCCAGACAAAGTTTTAGTTGTAGAACAGACAGCTTCAGTCGTAATATTCCTCCATCGGTATATGTGGAGGGGCTTTTGCCCATATTCATGGAATATAGCCATGGAGGCAGCCGTTGCAGATTAAAAGCTCAGCTCGATTCCCGCAATGCACGAATACGACGCGTTGGTGGCGAATACCACTCTTGCGCTGTATTATGCTGCCCATCTCCTCAGACAGCGAATTCTGTCCAGCTTAAGCAACTCTACGCCATCTGACTTGCATTTGCCCAGATTACTCCCCAGTACACCATTCATAACGAATTTGGGTAGGTAGCGTGAGGTCGAGCAACATTGTCTCATGTCACTGGTGATACTGAAGGGATGCGTAACATTTCCACACATTCACACAGGGCCCCATGTTTGCATAAATATTTTGGAGAATGTTAACATATTTCTCATTCTCAATAGACAGCCACAAAAAGCAGCTCTGTCATCACTCTTGTGTCTAGCGAAACAACAATCGTCGGCTGACTAAGCGTTAGCTAGTGCTTACGTATTTGATTTATCGACCTAAATGAAACCAGGCGGAGACCATTGCAAAGTGGGGTGACAAACACTTTGGATGCGATATAGATGAAACTAATCCTTCTTTGCTTAGTGCGTCCTGTTCGGCTACTTTTTGGAAACTGTCACAACATCCGCTATGCTCTCCTCGGATGGGGTAACTTTCATAGTCCCAATCATTTGAAACAGAAAAATTTATGTTTGGGAACGAGTTCCCGTCTTTCAAAAATATCTGGTCGGTTCTCACTTCAAGTAGGGTCAGGCTTCGAACTCCGTTATACTTCCATGCCCCAAATACCACCGCGCATTCCTGAAGAACTTATCATCACAGATCAGGGCTGTAACTTTATGCATGGCTCTACAAATGCATGCCTAGTACTTCTCAGTATTTCAACACATGTACTTTTGAGTCATGAGAAAACAAAAACTTTGAGGTACCGATGACGTTTGGGTGGCAATTCTACTGATGTCTAGTCGTTTTTAGTGACGGCCTTAGCACGCAGGGACGCTTGAATCAAAGTAAGACGAGTGCTTTACGTTAATTTTTAGTTCCTTACACTCCCTCGCCAAGGGTAACTGATAGAGATATCTGTCTGCTTCCACTGCTCGTCAGGTGGCGTGTTTTCACCACGATCGCCGAGGACTGCTATTGGAGAAAATCAAGCCAAAATGGACACAAAGTTGAACTCGGTAATCGTCTATGTTTCTTCTGGGATTACGCCGGCCGTACTGATCACCGAGGTTACGACCTATAACTTCACATCTTCGCTTTTAGGTCTGTAGCCCGCACCAAATTATCTGTGCGGTGTATTTTGCGAAGTTCTTCTGGCGACACTGCTGGATGTTCATACTTAGCTCTCTAGTCCAATCACATAGTAGGCCATTGACGGGGACCGATCGATTAGGGTTGCCTCCACTCGTGTGTGTGCTATGTAGTCACCGCACCGACATTCGCGTCTTCAGGTAAGCACGATGCGAGAAGTACCAGGGGGACTTCCGGACGGTGAAACCAGTCGTAGCGTCATTTTGGAGTTCTATAAATGGGTCCCAGGGAAGCAGCAAAAGTCATTAGCAACATTTCCTAAATTACGCGCAAGGGCAGTCTCTGATCTGACCGGTATCAGCATCCAGACCTTAAGTTGGCTTGCCTGAATCTAGAACGGGGCGCTGGAAAAAGCTTACCAACATGTTTAGATGGTATATCCTCGGACGTGAATTTTTAGGTAATGTGACGTAATTTTTCACTCAGGATGACACGGGTTTAACACCCGAGATCAGAGAGATGTTACCAAGGATAGGAAGTGGATTAACGTGGATTCATTTCTTAGCTTTGTATTCTGATAAAACACGGTGTAGCATGTCCGGCAGCCAGCCCTACTGCCGCGAATAGCGTTTTAAATGAACATGGAGGGAGGACAGTAGGTTGTTTTGTCATTTACCCATAGACTCTGTTGGCGTAAGGCTCCCCAGCTGCTCAGGCCGAGAAAGACGGTAGACTTAAGTGATATTCAGAACGTTTAGTTCTAATAACCTGACCCTATAGGAAGCCGCTTACCAAAACATGGATAAAACGGCAAACTACATAAGATAAGAGCTCTTGCATAGCGGTGCGCAAACTATGAAACGTCTTAGTAATCACGGAGCTCACTACGAGACCCGAAGACCGTTACCAGCCAGGGCTTCATACGCACTTTTACTCTTCGAATGATAGCCCACACTGAAGCCGGCGGCCACCAATGTTGTTCGTTCTCCCTCTGTTTTCCACTCACTTCTTTGCAGAACTATTGGCCACAGTTGCTCTCACTCTGCGTTTTATGAGTTCAGTTCAGGTGACTAGGACCCCGATTCTGTAAGACAATGCCGCTGATTATCCGCTACTGTTTATCCATTTGTCCAGCGATAATTGTCTACACATAGAAGATATTCCTCAACTAGTTGCTTATAGACGCGAAGAATTCATATTTCCAAATTATTAATGATTATTGCATTATTAGATATTTGAGTACCCAGTAGGTGTAATCATCGTAGTCTATGACATCAACCTTGTGCTATAAATTATAAGAAGATCGCTGCTTCATTTCAGTGCTGTTTGTCTGTTTGAGAGCATCTAGCACTCACAAGAAAATGAGCAAAAGCAGCAATCTCCGCCAATCAAAGACCTGAAATGGTAACATCCCTTAGAGAAAGGTACCGAGATCGTGATATTTCTGTTCAAATTGGCTCTAGCAAGACAGCGGTTCGCAATACAGTCATCAAGCACCGGTTGGATGGCACTTTTCTTATCGAAAGGCAACTAGATATCCTTAAAAAAAAACAACGCTCAGGAATGATAGTGTAATCAAAACCATGGTTTTCTGGCAGGTTTACTAAAGTTCAGCCTTAAATCACTCACTGATTTGCGCCAAACAGCTGCATCTGCTGTCCATGTGCCCGGTTCCGGGTGTCCGCTTTTAATGAAGGTTCTTAGTGTGTTGATCCCTTTCTGCCACAGTACCTTTCTGGATGACTGTGCAAAGTGTCTGACTAAGCATGCACCACTATTTGATTGTTTATCAAAACCGACTGCATCCTAGCTGGGTTCTACTCCTTACAAGCAGCACTGTCCACGTGCTGCGACTGTCCGCTGCAGCTTGGCGAAGCTTCATGCAGTAGCGATCATGTGGAACGGAGTCACTCGTGATCACTCTTATCACACATTTTGATGAAAAAGATAAAGTAATGCCACCCTGACTAACTACACGTGGCATGTATAATTTGACTTGGCTCTAGAAGTTTCTGAATATGGAGAACTTTTCTGGCACCTTCCTTTAAGATAGACCCACAAAGATACCGTGTCCAGGCGACTGACTCAAGCTGTCTTGAGATGCAGAAAAACGACCGTGGTGAGCCATCCATATGTGTGACGTTGCTTAAGGTAGCCAATCATAATGTATGCTTACCGTGCCATGTATGGAAAGTGGATTGGTTGACACCGATTCAGCTCCCACAATCGTAAGGGGTCCACTGCACTAAGGTGCTTTTAGGCAGTGTGGCCGCAACTGGAATAAGACTGACTATCTGTTTTCATTCGTACACCTTTTTGGTTTATTTTAGAGATAGGGCTAATTCGCACCAGTTACCAGACATCTTTTTGATTCCCCGTTTAGTAGTGAACGAAATAGCAGAGCAAACCAAAAGTTGCCCGTCTTTCAGTAGTCATTGAAAAATGTAGTCTGGTACACACACCAGGCTTTGCGTTTGTTGCGATGGTTGTGAAATGGTGTTGTGTATGTCCCATTTATCAAATTCGCCCGGATGATTGGGTCAAGCATTTGCGGCTACCACGTTAACGGTTATGTCTCCAGGTTTAATTTTGAAGATCGATACTTGTACCTCCCACGATAATGATATTGTTTCATTAATCATTTACTTTGCTTCAATAGCTGAGATGTTTCTCACCTTTAGCTAACGTATAAAGATGATGATTGCTTCAATATTTGTGTGTGGAGTATGTTAGGCTTATTTTTATTTGATTTTGTCCGTTTTGTTTGGATGTTCTGTATATTCAAATTTTAATCCTACTAACAATTTTAGCTGATCGATAAATTGAAGAGTTCAGGAGCAGTGCAACATCCCCTACTATCCGAGAGCGTCCGCTTTGCAATTAGCAACGATCCCTCCCCAACCGAAGTTGGGGAAGCCGAAGAACTGTATGCAGTGCCCGTTGTAACGGTATGTAGTCAGCAATTTGACTCCGTTAACTGTTTTTGTGTTCGCAGACCAGTTGGGTCAACCTCTCTGCTGAGGCGGGACAATTCTTACCGTAAGACGCATCTTTTTGATTCTTCTTTTCTAGATACAAGCCGTTCCATCCTGATTTCAAGCGTTTGTTTTCGCATCTCACTTTTACTCTTTGTGAGGTGGGTACTATGAAGCAATTTATATTTCTGTAGCTCTCCTTGAAGGATCGTTTCTCTCTTTGGTCTGTTTTGACCATTCATGGAGCCAAAGTTCAGCACTTTTTGGATGGGAACGTCACTCATGTAATCTGTGGACGAGCTTCTGGAGTGAGTCCTTTCCGCATCTACTCCATTACATTGAGTTGAATTTTAACATCTTAAATAGTCTGAGCAACCTCAGGGTAATCAGCCTTTTCTGTTTGCTTGGTTTTGCCTTATTCAAATTTCAAGTTTAAGTCCAATGCAATTTCAGAACCTGTAACAATGTGCGCTGTTTACACAGCTCTGGCTTCAGAACCTTGATTGCAATGGCTTCAGGAATGGTCAACACTTGTTTCTTAAGCTGTTTTGGGTAGCGCTTAGGGATAGTATAAACGACTTGAAACGACTGGTTCATCTGGACTTGATGTCCAGTGTCAACCAAGTGTTGTAAAACGGAACTGTTGATGGATTTTACGGTGCCTTTTCGTAGTGACGCAGGACAATCTTCAGCGATTCTTTTGGACAAACACCTGTTCGTATGTCCAAGATACCTAGCACCATAGGTGCAGGTGAACTGGTATAAGACAAACGCTTCGGACCGAACTGGGAGTTTATACTTTTATCGCTGATGAATCAATGGTCTTGTTTCGGCAAGTAGTTTTAGATTGGCGGCTGGAAATGTCTTGGCCACTACCGTCGAAATTTTTCTATTTAACAGTTCGAACGCGACGTCACCATTAAAGGGAACTTTAAGGAATACATCCTTTTTAGGCACTGTAGCGACACACTTGACAGCCTCAAGCTGTTTGGAGTGCTTTTTGATGAAAGATACGCGGTATCCATTTTCTTGTCCAGAAGAATCGCTGAACATTGTCCTGCGTCACTACGAAAAGGCACCATAAAATCCATCAACAGTTCCGTTTTACAACACTTGGTTGACACTGGACATCAAGTCCAGATGAACCAGTCGTTTCAAGTCGTTTATACTATCCCTAAACGCTACCCAAAACAGCTTAAGAAAAATCTGTTGACTATTTCTGAGGCCATTGCAACCAAGGTTCTGAAACCAGAGCTCTGCAAACAGCGCACATTGTTACTTATTCGCATTGTTGGAAACTCAGCAGAGGACGTATCACGTCCTTGAATAGCGGCAGCATTATTGCATTTTGGATTTTTACATGCCGGAGGATTAAACCTGTATTCTGTTGAGCTGACCCCAGATGGCAGCCGTCTTATAGCAAACTGTCAGTACAAAGTCATTGAAGCACTCGCATGTATGGCGTAGTCTGTAGCCTTCTTAATTACTTCTGGATAGCAATCAAATTGTTATTCTTGTAGTATATAATCATTTGTACTGCACAAGCGTTTAAAGTGCCATTCAATCGCTTTAACTTCTTACAGGTCATATCTCTTTTTCGCGTCTTGTACTGTCTATGTTCATAGGTCTACACGCGATATTCATCCGCCGTCTTCGTTTGCACTATCCTGTCCTGTCTAAGCTCACCCTGAACGTAGCTCATTTTTGCCGTGCCATTTCCTCACTGTCCGTCTACACCATGCACTTGTGGTCCGGCGTCGTGCGTGGCACTTACATCACTTTATCTTCACAGTGTGTGTGATCTCAGCAGTCGAACAACTAGACACAGCATCAACAGAAAACCATGGATTTCAGAGGATAAGGGACAGTTATCGCGTCATAATCATCGTGGCATAGTAGTTGAAGGTGAGCAACACACTTCAGTTGATATACAGCAGGAAAGAAACATTTTGACAAAAAGTAGAACAAAACGTTTTTAGTTTTCCCACACAGATTTTTCTCTCGTTTTGTCCTTTTAAATGTTTGAAGTATTAAACATGTGAGTCAATACAATGCTGCACACAATTCTTCCACTGATTCCGGTTGCGGGCCATGTATTCAAGAGTGTTAAGCCATTGGCACTCCTCATCTTTGGGTCGCCATCCTGGAAGACGTACGGATCCAACAGCGGCTAGACACGATGTCAGCGATTTCATGTGCTGCCGCCATGTAGAAGGCTGCCCACCACCCGGTCGCCTCCAACCAGGTCCTTGACGAGCGAATAGAGTGCGACGCAGTAGACGTTCAGGTGCCATGCGTAGGACGTGACCGAGCCATCTCAACTGGCGCAAGAAAACTGGTTTGTTGAAGGGAATACTCGCATTCCCCATGATGCGACGTCGAACTTCATTACTATTAGCTAGATGTTGACACCAAACATGAGCAATCCTCCTTAAGCAACCGTTATCGAAAGCAGAAAGACGACGCATGTCTTCCATGCGAATCGGCCAGGACTCTCACCCATACAACAATTCTGAGCTAACTGATACGCTGTAAACGAGACCCTTTAGCGAGAATGAGACGTCGCAACGACGCCACAAGTGCCTCAGATTGACAAATGCTGCTCGAGCTTCAGCGATTCGAGGAGAAACTTCTTTGTTAATAATGCCTTCAGCAGAAACAGCTCCCAAGGTAGACGAAACTATCTACCTGTTCAAGTTTTGCACCTTCGAGAGTGAGCACAGGAGCAGGTGAAAGCCAATCCTTGAGCAGTACTTTACACTTCGATGGGGCGAAGCTCATGCCATACTTAGATGCTTCAACCGCCAAACGATCCAGAATGAGTTACATACCCTGAGGATCGTCACCAAGTAAGGCGATATCATCAGCATAATCTAAGTCGGTCACGCGCTCACCCGGTAGAAGCTCTAGGCCAAATTGTTGGAAACTTTCTAGAGCATTCGAAAGCACATCTTCGATTGCGAAGTTGAAGAGCAATGGGAACATAGGGCAGCCCTGCCGCACACCGCTATTGACAGCGAATTGCGAGGAAAGCTTGCCATAGACCCTCACCCTGCCGGATGTATGAAGGTAAAGTGCTCGTAAGATGGCGGTATATTTCTCTGGAACCCCGTTCTTTAGCAAGCAAGGCCATAAAGCAGGTCGATCAACGGAGTCAAAAGCGGCACGTATGTCTAGGAATGCAACGATACTGTGATAGATGTGGCGATGTTCGAGGAGCTGGCGGAGCGTGAAGATTTGATCCAGCATGCGCGGTCGGGACGGGAACCAGCTTGTTCTTCGCGGTAGTATGATTCACGTACTGGGAATAGTCTGCGAAGCGGAATGGATGCCAATAGCTTGGAGGCAACCGAAATAAGACTGATTGCCTGAATGATTTGCACATGAAGTGCGAGCGCCTTTCTTGAAAATCGGGACAATAACTGATTCGCCCCAAGAGGAAGGCACTTTCTCTTCATGCCAGATTTTCGCGAACAGCGCGGTCAGCTGGTTAATGATCGCCACACCGCCGTACTTGAACAGCTCCGGAGGAAATCCATCTGAGCCGACAGCCTTGAAGCGCTTCAAGCGTCGAATCTCGAGGCAGACTTCCGCTTCGTTGGGTGGATTCGGTGGGACGAGCCAGGGTGGACAACAAGGTGTACTGCATGTACTAATGGATGGTGGAGGCCAGTTGAACTGCGAGTGAAAGTGCTCGGCCCAGCATTCCATACGCCTCTGTTGGTTGGTAATCGGAGGCTCATCCACCTCACAAATGACCTCACTGACACCAGGCTTCCTGAGGCCAGTGGACCGAATGAGTTGGAAAAGCCTGCGAGTGTTGCCAGAGAGGGCAGCGGTCTCCATCTCTAAAGCACGCTCAGACCACCATGTCTCGCGATCCTTACGTAGGCTTTACTTGAGCAGCCGGTTGACAGAATGGCGCCGCTCTTTACAAGCTGATTCGGCCGGGATATCTTTGCGGCGTTCGAACAGCTCCAGAGAACGAGCAGAGATCCAAGGCTTTATAGGGCGTCGAGTTAGGCCGCAGCTTGACTGTCCGGAAATGGTCATTGCCTTCCGTATACACGTCCAGTGTTGTTCCACCTCTTGCGGTGGATTGCAACTGAATGCATATGCCAGTGAAGACTGATAGCTCGCCTGGACAGAGGAATCAGTTAATCTGTTTACATCAATCTTGCGGTGCTTGGTGTTTCGGGATCCTCCAAAACACACAGATTTTCGCGCAGACCAGTGCATGGTCTGAGTCAACGAAGGTGGACCAAAAGGACCTGCAGTCCAGTACGCTGCCGCGCCATCTGAAGCTAATTGCAATGTGATCAATTTGAGACCACGGTTGTGTTGGCGAATGGGGATGCCACGTTGCGGAACGCTTCTTCGTACGCCTGAAGTTAGTGCTCGAGAGAAACAGATGGTTGTCTTCACACACTGTGAGAAGCCATTCTCCGTTATCAGAGCGGTTCTCATCGAGCGCGTGGTGACTACAAAGGTGGTGTTCGTATGGTAACAGGCGGCTAACCCGTGCATTAAAATCCCCAGCAAGGACAACGACATCCGACTTTTTAGCATTAGTCAAGTGCTGATGTAGATCCCGGTAGAATTCGTCCTTAACCGAGTCGCTACTGCAGTCAGTTGGAGCGTACACGGAGATCACAAACAAGTTGCGTCTCTCTTCGCGGTGCTTGTTGATTCTACATGAACCCCGAAGCCGAACTGCACATAGTCGGCTGTTAATCGGGAACCAGTCCAGTAGTGCCGCCTCGGCCTTGCCACTTATTGCTATACCTACACCAGCCAAACCCGCTGAGGCTGTTTCTGGATCTCCAGAAAGACGCAGGTGATATCTGGCTTCGTGATCACTGGGGGATGTCAATGTAAGCACAGTGCTGGGATCTTGCAACCGGGTTTCTGAAAGGCAGCAGACATCAATGTCTAGGGACTCTAGGGTGCGCGCTAGACTGGCTTGCTGTCCAATCTGCATGAGTGTCCGAACGTTGAAGCACGCCAGACGGAACGAGGATCGGGGACGAAGGAGAGCCATAGGTTGAACTCCGTGGTTCGCAGCGCAACCGGAATCGCAGCCAGATTGTTGAACACATGAATCGGGTAACGGAAAGTGAGGATTGTTAGCAAACAAACAATTGGCGTGTGATGAAGTCGCGTGAATGTGAGAAGCAGAAACAGTAGCTGATGAGCACGTTGTAGTACAGTCCATGGTTTTGTGAGAGGGCGTGATACTACCCCGTTGCCCAAACCGAAGTAGGGAGCTGACTTAGGGGACTCACCCCGAGCTTTTGGCTAAATAACC